GTGGGCATTCTTACAACACTCATAACACCATCGGCCGTGGCCGGATTGTTTGTGCGAGCCCTGCATTTTTGCGGGCTGTGTTTGTGTGTAGAAATGAGCCCTGGGTTGTAGGCATTTTCAATACACTCATAACACCATCGGCTGTGGCCGGAATATGAGAAAATACACCATTTATGTGATTTATCTGGGTCGCCGTGGGAACAGCATTAGTGTGCAGGCAAGCGGGCATGGTACTGGCTTGCTTACTGCAAAATACACTGGAACAGTCACATTTTCTGGAACTGAACGAGCGAAAATTTCAGTGGAAGTCTGGCCACGGCGAGACTGAAACACCGTCAATTTCCTAGGAGGCTAGGAAGACTTGTGTTGGTTTTGTTTTACAGAAACCGTGGTAGTGTATGTGGGCACTGGGTTGTGGGCACATTCACTACATTTAATGCACAATTGTGCGAGCCCTGTACCGTGGCGGGCTGTGTTTGTGTGTAGAAATGAACACTGGGCTGTGAGCATTTTATTACACTTATAACACCATCGGCTGTGGCCGGAAAACCAGAAATACAATGATTTTTCTGGGTCGCCATGGAAACGGCCTTTATGTGCAGGCAAGCGGGCCGTGGTACCAGCTTGTTTACTGCAAAATACACTGGAACAGTCGCATTATCTGGAACTGAACGAGCGAAAAGTTTCGGTGGAAGTCTGGCCGCGGCGAGACTAAATTTTTATCTGCTGCGAGAGCCGGGGATCGAACACGGGTCTACCGCGTGAAAGCTTCAGGTTCCGCCACTGGGCCACAGGGAGAACTACACTAGCGCAAGCAGATAAGAGAGCGTCATCACAGTTTTGTGTGTGTCGGTTTGTATGCAGGTGTGCGTGTTATACAACAGGCTCATTGCTGCAATAATGACATTTTCAGCCGCTCAAACTAGGAGCTGAGAAATGTTTGAGAAATGGAGATTAATCCGGCCTCGGCGGGGACTAAAACACACTCTTTTCTCATTTGCCGGTGACGCACGCCCATGGGGGGCGGGGTAGAATGCTGGCCCGTTTCCTTGACGACTCGCGGACAGAAGGCGGAGGTCCACAGAGCTCGCCTGTTGCGCGGCGGTTGCGCGGGCGCTTCCCAATCGAGGCCGATGCTATCCACGGCCTGAGAGAGCAGACGCATCAGCCCAGTCTCAATGCCGGCTCTCTTACCAGTGGTCTGGCGGGAAACGCTAGCGGAGGGGAGGTCCACGGAGCTCGCCCAATCCTCGCTATCGGCAGAGCCGGACAGTAACGGAGTACATTTACTTGAGTACAGTACTTAAGTACAATTTTGAGGGATCTGTACTTTACTCGAGTATCATTTTTGGGGAGTACTCATGACTTTACTCAAGTACATTTGAGAGGCAAATATTGTACTCTTTACTCCAATACATTTCTATCCATAACCGTGAGTACCCGAGTAAAAAAAAAAAAAAAAATCTCGGAAACCCTCAATTTGTTGTTTCCCTCTCAAACGTGATTGGATTGTGCAGGCGCCACTGATTGGGACAGCCTATCAGCAATCACTTTCAGCTTTCCGCCAAAGTCAACTCCATGGTCAGATTTTATATTCCACATTAATGTAAGCCAAGCATTTGGTTTGATGTTCTTGAGTATGTGGTGTGTTTAACACAGTCAGGTTCAAATGTGGCAGTGGCGTAGCCACGAGGGATTTCTGATTTCTTAAAAAAAAAAACTTTACGAGGCAAAATATATTTTTACTGATTATGTGAATTACACTGCGCAAACCAAAGTAGGCTACTACCCAGCGAATGAAGAAGGGTTGGCGCTCAGTCTCCACAGTACATAAAATATTAATTTTGTTTTATTTAATTTTTCCGGTTTGCATTTATGAGGAAAAAACAATGTTATGTACGTGTTCTCCGTTACGGACGTGAGCGCTCTGAAAGCGGCATAAAAAATGCTTTAAAACTTTCACAGAGACATCAAACAGAAAACACAAAACCTTTCTTTAACCTGAATTTCGTTTTGCATTAATTGTATCTTAATTTTAATCAATGTTTCATCAACCAATTGCCTGGGTTTAATAAATTAGAAGTAAATAGCAGACGATAGATAAGAAACGGAGGCGCCGGCCTGTGAACTGGATCTCGTCTCATAAATGAACCGAAACTCAGTGTATAAGGTAGCCTACTTGCCTCTGTTTATTAACAAGTGTTTATTAATAAACAATTAAAATATCTCCTTGCTATATTTTACATATTCATTATCATTCCTTTTGCCGGTTCTATGTGACAGCTTTTAGGTGCTTTATTGGCAGCGCCACCCTTACATGTGGTGTGTGTGTGTGTGTGTGTGTGTGTGTGTGTGTGTTGTCCCCGCATTTAAAGATGGGATTAAATTAAATAAAGCAACATGGTAAAAAGATGAAAATGACTTGATTTTACTTTCAATTCCTTTTACATTCTCCAAGGTATTAACATTAACATTTTAACTCCATGTAGGACGTTTCTGTGCATAAATGTAAGCACTGTGGCAGTAGATTAGTAATGCAATATTTAGAAAATCTACTCTTGTACTCTTGATACTCAAGTACTTTTAAAAACAAGTACTTTAGTACTTTTACTTAAGTAGACATCTGAATGTAGTACTTTTACTTGTACTTGAGTAAAATTTAGCAAGGGGTATCTGTACTTTTACTCAAGTAACAAAGCTCTGTACTCTGTCCGCCTCTGGCTATCGGATGCCAGAAGAGAACACGCCTCGGTGGGTTCGTCAAACTCGTGGATGGACGCGGCGGCAGGCGGCGGCCGTTGTCCGTCAGTGAGCGACTCGAGCGAAGCCGGCGAAGCAGGCGGGCGAACCGGCGAGCTTTGGCGGGCTGGAGATAGCTCGGGAGCGCGCTGGGCGCGGCGCTTTTTACGGCGCGGCGTCACGGCGGGCTGTGGTGAAGGCTCGGAGAATGATGCCAGGCGCGTCCTCAGAGTCACCATGGGCAAAAACTCGCAATGAGGGCATCCGCCGTCAGCGAGCGCGATAGCCGCGTGATCCTCACCCAGACAGGAAACACAGATGAAGTGTCGATCTCCATCGCTGAGCGGGGCGCGGCACGAGCCACAGGAAGGCATCTTTAAAAAGACGCTGCTCTTTTTGTGAGAGAAGTGTAAGTCGCGTCAAGTAAGCGAACAAACACTTCTCAACAGAGAAATACACACAGAGTATTTGAAAGGATATATAACGCCGGAAAGCGCAGCAGGTACGGCAGATGAAGGCGGCGAGGCCAGCGACTCCAGAGCTCGTCCCGCTGAAAGGCTTGCTTCGACGGCGCGGCTTCTCACTCCGGATCCAGCGATGCGTGTGCTTCGCTGAAGAGGTAAAAATCAGCTTGTATCAGCCTAACGAGCATATTTATAGGGCGAGACCACGCCCCTTCTGGCGGGACGTGACGATATGGGCGCGAATTGCCCCCATTGGTCATTACGTCACGCAGAGTCTCTCTCGATAGGCTGCTGCATTTGCTGCAGAGCAACCAATAGGCGCGCGAGCTGTTTCGCCTATGTTTGCTTGCTGCTGCAAAGCGTTTTGCATTAATAAAAAATTAAAGGATAATTTTTGGCTTCAATATCTCGCGGAAAAGAGTTTTTCCCCTAGCGTAAAGCTATTACGCAGTACGAGAGATACTCTCGTAAGAGAACTTTAATATTGAAAGGACAATTGCATTATGTTGGCATTATGTATAAAACCATAAGCTTTTGGTGATTTTACTTAATGAAAGTTGCACTAATACATTTTTGTTTTGCTCGCGCCGCTCGCGTCCTGTCTGTGTAGTAGACACGGTGGCGTTCTAATCAATTTTACACAAAATATTACACAAAATATACTTTAAAACAAACACCAGAGACCGCTTAGACAAATGTATCACGTGCTGAGAACGCTAACCTAACAAACACAAAATCATTCTTGTTTAACTTACCTCCGGGCGATTCATGATCAGAGTCAGAGAGCGGCAACCTCTTGAACCACCATCGCACTGGAAAACTTCTGCAGTCCCTAATTGGCCAAAATGCTCTGTTCGACTTTTCCAAAATCATCTACTCTTCCCTGTGACCTACTTTCTGTAAGACCTGAATTTTTGACATTGAATTTTTGACATTGAATTTTAGAAAACTGAATTTGACGTTCCGAATTTCTTCATCTTGAAAACTTGAATCCGTATTTTTTTAAACTGAAATTTTGCAGTATTTGAATTCAGAACACAAAAACTAGCTGTTTGAAAATACATGTCTATAAAATTCAGCCATAAAAACCTTTCAGTTTGTTAAATTTCAGATGTTCAATATTCGTTCCAAAAAAATTCAAATTCAGAACTATTTAAAATTCAGTTTTGTTAGATTACACTTGCAAATAATTCAAATTTACACAATTCAAATTCAAATCATTTTGTCATATTATTAGCTCCATAGCGGCACATATAAACCTCGGATGAGGAGCTACAGAAAGCTTTGTGAGACACCGGAAAATTTTCGCCGATATTAACAACTATAGCTACCAGAACAGCTTAGAAACTGCCTAACATCCAGTATACCTTAGGAACCAACCGCCTTCAACACCCTATTGACCACCCACACAATACCAGCAGGCAGCCATAGCAAAGGCCCACTTAGCACCTTGCACTGTTCTTTCTTCAGAAATGGTGAAATTATACACTTATCACATAAAATGTTGATTTTAATTTCATGTTTTTTTATAGTTAAGCAAGTTGTTTTATTTTTTTATTTATTAAATATTGATTTAATTAGCCTATTGAATTCTCAGTAGGCTATAATTATTTAAATATCGAATTTATGTTAGCCTAATTAATCAACTAGAATGTTAATCAGAAAATCACATCAAGGGGACAAATGTCTCTTAATAATGGAAAATGTAATTTCTGACATCTTTTATCATATAACTTAGAGAGAGTAGTATTGAGTTGTGTGTGTGTACTCTCAGTGTTATCAGCTCATGGGGGTCTGGCACGAAGCCACTGCACTTTCCAGCCATCCGAACACAGTCTCCCCTCCTCCGGTCAGAAATGCGAATCTGTACGGAAATCGGAAAATATGCTTGCAGCACTAGGAAAAGTAGCCTACAACTCTCCTCCGCACTCTCTCCATGTGCAGCTCTAAATGAATCGCGTGTCTCACACACAGCTCTCGTTACCGGAATGATTCAACTCCTGGGGGATGAGAGTGAACGGTCGCGGTACTTTGCAAATGAGCGCTGCCGATAAACGGTCCGGGTGACTGAGGTTGTTTAGCCGGAATCTCCGAGCGTCACTACCACAGCTGTATCTACATGTGGCGGCTTTCACATCTCCACAGCATTTCGTTTTAAAAGGTACATCTTAATGTATTTTGAACTTAACTATTTTTTACTATTTTTCAGACTGTCTGCAGGTGTATGTAAATATAGTGAATGTATTTGCCATGGATTATTGTAGCCTATAATGGATTGAATAGGGAGAATATAAATTCATTGTATTTGTTTTTTTTATTTATTGAGAGTTGAGATGCAAATGTCTAGAGCGTTTAGTTCAAACCCAGTTAATCAGATCTTTTGCACATCTTTCCATTCAGAAACCATCCTCCGTTTACTATAGCTCTTTCTGCAGTCTATTGCACATTTATGACATGAAAAACTTGTTTCTTTTTTGTTGTTATTTACTTTCCGAAAAAATAACCAGCCTAAGATGGTGTACTGGTTTGAGATGGTCCCACATCCTGGCCAAGCTGGTGTTAAGGTGGTTTAGCAGTCTGACCTAAAAATTGCATAATAGCCAACAGACCATCTTGACCATACTCGGTGACCTGTTTTTTTTCTTTCACTGGGGTTATTATAAGATAAAATATTCATTTGCATATAATTAAAAATGTATTAATGTTTTCTATTTGACGCAAAACAGCTGTTCTATAAATGTGTGTGTTTGAATGATTTTGGTGTGCAACATAATATCTGCCTGTCAACACCATTATCAAGCTTAACCAGGTCATCAACTTTAGAATTAATTAATTAATTAATTAACAGACACTCTTTTAAATTTCACACAAGGAAGAGTACAGGCCACAGGTAATCTCAGCTGCGCTGATATTCAGTACTTAAGCACAACTGTGAACACCTTATTGGTTATATAATACAGTTTTGTAATATATTTCAGACAAAAATTTTACCTATAAGTTTGTATATTTCTTCTTCACCAAAGAAAACGGTTAGATCAAACATTCATGTCACCAAGCAGCTCGCAGTCTAAAAACCGGTCTGGAACATATAAGTGGAGTTGAGTGACAACGGTTACACTCCCCCACTCAACACTTTCTGCAATCACTCTTGGCCAACTCTTTTTCAGGTTTTCCATTTCCTCGCTGTGTTTTCCCCATTCTGAGCGAACATGGAGTTAGAGAAAACACTGATGTTCTGATTTTAAAACAAAAAACGTTTCTTGCTCCAAGCAAAGTCCGCTTACACTCAGCATTGCTCGCATACTCAGGTCTGGGATGTTGTGAAAACAGACAAGCATGTATACAAATGGTGAAACTTCCCAGTGCCGTTACTGTAAACCGTAAATATCGAGCTCTCTCTGAACGTTACTCGGCCAATCAAATTTGAGCATCAGAACTAACTGTTGCTTCGTTTCTTTAATTCTGGTCAACCATTTTCCTGTTGTGTCATTCTTAACAATTTTCCGCACTTTTTCTTCCCTCACAGGCTACGGGAGAGCAGGAACAATATACCTCACTAGGAACATGGGCCAATCTGGGACTTCATTCTGTTTTTCTCTCGCTCTAAACCTCTTCATCTTCCTCTTCGTTTTCTCCAATGAGCTTATGCCAGCTACTGCAGGCGGCTCTAAAACAAGCTTAGATGTAGATACTTCTCCTAACGAAACCTCTTCACAAGAGACATGTGGTGGTAGTTTTGAGTGCAAAGAGGGAGTGATCTTGCCAATGTGGATGCCAAACAACCCGTCTTTTGGGGATAAGTTGGCCAGAGCCACTGTGTACTTTGTTGGTTTGTTCTACATGTTCCTGGGGGTATCCATCATTGCAGACCGCTTTATGGCTTCCATCGAGGTCATCACATCCCAGGAGAAAGAGATCACCATCAAGAAGTCAAACGGAGAAACCACAACCACTACTGTTCGTATTTGGAATGAAACAGTCTCGAATCTTACTCTCATGGCTCTGGGCTCATCAGCCCCAGAGATTCTGCTCTCCGTGGTAGAAGTGTGTGGACACAACTTTAACGCAGGCGAGCTAGGCCCAAACACCATTGTTGGAAGTGCAGCTTTTAATATGTTTGTCATTATCGGTCTCTGTGTCTCTGTGATACCAGAAGGAGAGCATCGGAAGGTCAAGCATCTGCGGGTGTTTTTTGTCACCGCTACTTGGAGTATCTTTGCATATACGTGGCTTTATCTGATCTTGGCGGTGATTTCCCCAGGTATCGTGGAAGTCTGGGAGGGACTGCTTACTCTCTTTTTCTTTCCAATTTGTGTCCTTTTTGCTTGGGTTGCAGACCGCAGACTTCTTTTCTACAAGTATGTGTACAAACGTTACAGAGTCGGAAAACAAAGGGGGATGATCATCGAGACCGAAGGTGAGCCGGAGCTCCAGTCAAAGGCGGATATCGAAATGGACGGTGGGATGCTTAACTCTCACGGCGAAGAGTTCTTAGACGGAACGGTGGATATTGAAGATAAAGACATGGATGAGGATGAGGCCAGAAGAGAAATGGTAAGGATATTGAAGGAACTGAAACAGAAACATCCGGAAAAAGAGATGGAGCAGCTGGTTGAGCTTGCCAACTATCACGTCCTCAGCCAGCAGCAGAAGAGTCGTGCTTTCTATCGCTGCCAGGCCACTAGACTTATGACTGGTGCGGGTAATATACTAAAAAAACATGCTGCGGACCAAGCCAGAAAAGCACTTGGCATCCATGAACTTCGCTCAGAAGTCTCAGATAATGATATTTCGTCCAAGATTTTTTTTGACCCTGGCACATATCAGTGTCTTGAGAACTGCGGGACTGTGGCTTTGAATGTGGTACGACGTGGCGGCGACTTAACTAGCACTGTGTCGGTGGAGTATCGTACTGAGGACGGCACTGCCAATGCAGGATCTGATTACCAGTTCACAGAGGGTGTTATATTCTTCAAACCAGGTGAAACCGAAAAGGAGATAAGAGTGGACATCATTGACGATGACATTTTTGAAGAAGACGAACACTTCCTGGTTCATCTCAGCAATGTCAAAGTCATTTCTGAAGGAACCGACAATGGGAACCCAGGCGCCAATCATGTGGAGACATTAGCTGGTCTTGGCCTTCCTTCAACAGCTACTGTGACTATCTTTGATGATGACCATGCTGGCATCTTCACATTTGAGGAACCAATGGTTCATGTCAGTGAAAGCATTGGTACGATGGAGGTGAAGGTGGCACGGACCTCTGGAGCCCGTGGAGTTGTGGTAATCCCCTATAAAACAACTGAAGGCACAGCAAAAGGTGGAGGAGAGGACTTTGAAGATACTCATGGCGTCTTGGAGTTCCAGAACGATGAGATTTCGTAAGTGAATTTTTTTTCTCTTAACTATTCAGTTAGAATGTATTGCATTGTGGTGCAAAATGGCAAACAATATCATGGATGGCACATGGCAGTTCTTATTTCCCAATTCAAAAGGGGAATCAACATAATCTTGTATAGTCGAAAACCCTAGTTAGTGTTCAACAAAAAGGATGGCCCACTTGCCTCGAGTCAGTTTTGGGCCAAGTGACCGAACTGTCACTTGTCCAATTGGATTAGCTCTAGGTTATCTCTTGCATTTTTTTAATTGTGTAAATGGATTTTATGGCTTCCAAAGTTAAACATTTGGTTTTCTGTGACATATGGAGATGATTGTAAATTCTGCTTGTCCGATCTTTAAACGTCAAATAGGTAAATTATCTGGTTGATGGTCATGTTTTGCTGCCTTGGTGTTTCCTGTATAATTATAAACTGTAGAATTTCTAGCTATAATTATAAATTTCCTATGTAAAGAACATTTAACATTTTATGGCCTGACCACATGCTGAAAAAATCTTTACTGTTGAGCCCTAAATAGTGTAATTAAAAATGACTAATTCATCAAAGTCTCCAAGTCATCCGGATGATTTTATCTCCTCAGTCTTTGTTCTTTGTTTGCCCACAATATGTTTCCTCCCTTGATATATCTGTTGGCTGTACGTTTTTTTTTTCTGGTTCATTTTCCTTTGCAGCCCTCCTTTTGCTTTCTTTTCACACTCTCATTTCCCACAAGCTGTGCTCACTCTTATGTTTCCATTTTGCTCTGTTTATTTCAGAATCTCATATTAATAAATCGTTTTTTATACAGTGTCTACTCCCAAATCTCCCAGTACTGCTTAAAGAGTGGCTTTGACATTGTTGTACCCATTGTATTCGTCAAAAGTGTGATTTAAGTAAGTGCATTGATATGGTCTGATTTACTGTATCATTATTTTATCGATAAGTCCTAGCAGTTGCACGCATTTCCACCTCAAATGTGGGCCTAATGTTCTTAGAGTGGCATGCAAAACTATTTAGCTGGATCAGAAGAGAGTAAGAGATACTTTTATTGCTTGAGGTGATTAAGTTCCTCCCATAACAGACCTTTGACACACAATAAAGGCTTTGACAAATGTGGTCCTTGAAGTCTGAACTGAATGAAAAAGCATCTGGTTTTGAAGTGAATGAGCTAAGTAGAAGCTTTCCACGAGTCGGATCTGCTTAATCTGTGTAGAGGCATGCCACAGAATGTCTTGGAGATCCAGAACTGCTCATTTGGGTGACTAATTACATTTCCATAACCATTGCAATGCTCGACTTGAGCTTGAGCTCAATCGCTAGGGCTTCTGGCAGAGAACAGGCTCTCCTCACCAATCTCGTCCTCTTCTGACACTTCTGGCACTCGGCCTCAGATCATTTATTGGTATGATCACATACTTGACAAGGTGGCCTGAACCCCAGATATTTTCCATGACAGGGAGGATATAAAGATAACAGATTTACTCAGTCAAAGATAAACAGCCCTGAATTTGCTCCAAGATCTTGAAATGGAAAAGCTCCCTTACTTGTGCTTATTTTAAGCTGATTAATGGGAAGACATGAACAAATGTAAACAGAGTCAAACGCATTGCTTTGAAGTAAGCAACCTACACCACGCTGATCTGGCTATGCCTACAGATGGAGTTCCATATATGGGCATCTCGACTCTGGATCCTGGATCCTATTTGGAGACAACTGGATGATTTTATATGGTGCTACGTCAAATCAGTGCCCTTTACTCGTAATTTAGATGGAATCAACCAGTTGGATTCTTTTGCAAAAGGAAAGTCTAGCAATAAATTAGTTTTTAGAGGTTAAAATAGGCCAGATGAAAAATGATTTAGCACATCCCATTTTGAAAGCCAAAACATCATATCATAGATTTGGCACTAAGGATGTCAATAAAGAAGTGAGATGAATTAGGACCCTATAAGACATCTCAGTGTTGGTAGTCAATTTATTTGTGTACACTGAAGTAGCCTTGTTTTCTCTTACTTGCTTTGGTTATCATTAGAGTAAATCTATAACTGGCCTCTAATCACTTGGGTACAAACCAGTCTTAAAAACACTAGAATTTAACACTATAAACACTAGTTTGAATTTGGATCCCTGTTAATGATGTATTAGCATTGAGTGTTTCTTCCTGATGGGGGGCTGTGAAAGACATGAGCAATCCATCTGTGTCCTCTTAGGGTTTTGTCATGCAGAGTAATGAATAAGTTTTAAATGTTAATCTGGCTGCACTTTAGGGCTGTGTCCTTATTTAGTTGCATAGTGTTTTTTTTTTATAAAGAACACAGAAATAGTATGTTAGGCATGTTTATCTTGGCTTATGCGAGACTGGACTTCATATAAACACTGTACATGGAGGGAACAAAATCTCTAGGGGGAGGGAATTTCCATCAATACTAGTTGGAAAATTCCGTATTGTATTTTCATTCGTGTAGGCTCTCAAAATAGTCAGAAAAACACTACAATTATTTTGAAATCCCCCAAAATATTTTTCTTTATTCACAGGCAGAGATTGTTTTGAATTGGTTAGTTTTTTGATTGGCTAAAAAAGTCTATTGATCGATTCTATTTTCCCCCTGTCTACTGCCTTTCACATATTTTGAGTTTTTTTACTGAGCTCAAGGCTGTTACATATTTCCGTGATGTCTGTCAGGTAATAAGGATTTTTAAAGTGTGGCCTTCCCTGAAAACGCTTCCAGCATCTTTAGTCTATTAAATTTTACAGTCAAATCATGCTTAGTTAGGGTCTTCAATAAGACACTGCGACATGACCTTTGTTATAAGGACACACTATGTCCATGTGCCCTCATGCACAGTTGCCAGAGTTCTTGCCTCTGCCTCCGGCTAATTAGATGACTCGTTTAGTGGTCATGTGACACTGACAGTGAACCTTGGGCAGTGCATCTCATATGAGCACTATGAAACAAAGACATGTGGGTGCAACTGATGAGTTGAGAAAAACGGTAGAAAGAGGTTGCTGCCCCCCCCCCCGATCTTTTACACAAAAAGAAAAAACATGTTCAATTAACTTAATTGAGGTAAACTTTTTCATGCAATAAAATTAAGCCTTGTTGACATTTTATTTTTTACTAATTACTTATGGATTTTGTAGTCGTGTACAAACTTAAATAAATTTAGCTGACTAGATGCAATGAAAATTACATAATGCTTCTCTGATAATTTATTATTCATCTTGGTACATTTTTTCCCCTGTTATACAAAAATAATACTGTGTGTTGTTTCTGTACATCCAGTTATGGTCAAAAAACTACTCACTGTGTCCCAATGTGAATGGATTAGATAAACACCCAATTTACAAATTAAAATGTATTGCATGATGTCATTGGCAATTGTGTTGCATTAGCTTATTTTAGTTAACTAAACTGAACAAGGCACAGAATTCTTTTTTGAGACTAGGTTTCTCTCTTATTATTGGTCTCAAGAACTATGTCCTGATTCTAGAAGAGAAGGAAAGATGCTCCCGGGTTTATCGTTATGTTTTTGGAGCTTGCCCCCCCCCCCCCACCCCCCCACCCCCAGTCAAGAGGAGGAGAGGGCACACTTCTGTCGCTACAGTCTTCTGCCAGCTCAGAGCTGCCCAGACAAACAGGCTGTCAGTTGATTTCATGTGACTCGTTGCACAAGGCAAAGATAGTGTCAGCAGCAGTGCACCATTAAATCACTGCTCCCATCTCTGCTGGGAATATTAATCATATTAGGTAGCCCCTTTTGGCCAGTTATTATCTTATGATCATCTATGACTAATTTAGATTATTTACAGAGGTTTCCGTGCCTGCCGAACGCTTGTGACTTTGTGTTGTACGTGTGTTTCCGAAATTTTCATTAGCAGATCCGCCTTTTTTTCTGAAATATCTTGATGATAGGTTCACAATAAAGCCTTTTAATAATATGTGGCCTACATGGGGAAGTACAGTAGAGGTTGGGTTGTGTAGCTTTACATAACGTAATATTCATGGCATTAATGCATTAAATGTTTATGATGCCGTACTGGCGAGAATGCTCTTCTACTTAAGGGAGGTCATGAAAATTTTATTAAATATGGAAAATGTGCTTTTTTTTCTGGTTTGATGACATGAATCAGCAGTTGGCTCACAGAGAGCCATCCACCGTCAGAATAACCCTCGGTGTCCCTTAAAGGGGAGTTTGTTCTTAAAGGATCTTGGTGAATCTCTGAGCATTACTTCTGCCTGTTTATTTTAGTTTAGTTCATTCGTGATGAAAACTGGTGATTGTTGGACAGAGAAAGTATTGTGTTTATGTTCACAAACCATCACTCAAAATTAAAGGTGTAATAGGTGATTTTCTACAGATTTTTTTTTTTTTTGTTATGCTGATTGAAAGTCTCCTCATATCCTGACAGCAATCACTATGTTAAGCGGTCTAAATGTATTTTTATTAATATATATCGTCTGTGGGAGGCGTAGGACCATAAAATGTTCCTTCAATCATTGCATTCGGTCCGAATGAAATGATGGAATGTGTTCCCTGTCAATTAACGTGTGTTTGCGTACCACTGCGCAGGCTGTTCACGCAGACATCATACGTCATCAGTGTTCACGTACAGTGTTTGCAGGCAAACAGCAACAACCTAACTTTCCTTCTGACAACTATAAGTGGCTCTGGCAATGGGTCTTCATTGAACAAGCAGACTCTCGTTGTGGAAACCCTGACGTGCAAGAAATATTATTACACACCGACACGTTTTGTTACACAACAGAAAACTTGCTCCATCTTGCTCCATCTAATTACACTTTTAAAAAGTTGTTTGCGATCGTTATTGTAGTACTGTTACTCACTGTACTGTAAAGTTTCTCCCCAGTGAATGACACATGATGTAATAACGTTGTCTCTGGTCGTCTCGCTTCTGGTCTGTGCGCGTCCATGTGTTTTGGTGGAGGCCTGGCTTTGGACGGTGATTTGCAGGGAGGGTGGGATCTTATGCTTTCAATGCT